GGTAGAATTCCATACAAATTTAAAGTATTTCAATCTGACCTTTGTGTTTCTCCTTCCCTGTGGCCCCATGGAGAGCTCTACTATGAAGCAAGGCTCAAGAGAAAAGAAAAGAAAGCAACCTAGAACTTTCCCTGTATGACATTTGGAGCAGCAATATAGTTTCTATAAAATCAATTTTATATGATTTTAGCCAGAAAGGGTAAAAGCATGCTCCTGGTTTTTCTTCTCCCCATGACTGTTTCCTAAGTCCCATGGCTCCTTCACCACCTTCTTCTGACCCTGAAGATCGCATTGCCGTTGAGCCCAGTGCTCATCCCACATCTCTTCACTGTGTTTCTTGGTCTCCTAGCTTTAAATATGCACGTGACTTCCAAATTCTGATCTCCAGTCCTGAGCGGTGCCCTTGAACTCTAGACTCGCATACCCAACTGTCCCTTTAATATCTGCACAAGGATGTTCAGGAAGCGCCTCGGACTGAGTGTGTGTAGAGTAGACCTCTTGCTTTCTTCCTCTGCTCTTTCCCTACTCAGCCTTCCATGTCAGGGCCACTGCCTGTCATGCCAGCACATCACCTAGGTCTCTCTTCACCTGTCACCTTTTCAGAGACACCTTCTCTGTCCATCCCAGCAGGAATTCTCCCCACTTCCTGACCTGCACCCTCCACCTCGCTTCTCACCCCCATCTTTTGCTCCAAGAGCACCTTCAGGATCTTACCTGTCTTATTTACTGCTACATTCTCAATACCTCAAAGGATGCCAGACTCGTAATGGGAGTTGGATGAATGTTTATTGAAGGGAAGAAAACGAATGAATGAGTGAGAAGAAAGGAATAAAACAGTTGAACAAAGAATTTGCTAAAGACGGAGGTATGATGGAAGGAACTGGTTAAGTGCTGGGATGCTATCCTTTAAATTGTTTTGTTTTGTTTTGTTTTAATCTTATTTATAAATTCTTTATTGAGCTTTATTTGAGTTCAGGGAGTGTTAAAGTTAGTTTAGAGATTGAGGAAAAAGTATTTACACTTGGGGTCTAATAGTAGTAGTTATTGATGAAAAGGTACTTCTAAGATTGGGTCCAGAGCCTGAATGCAAAACTCAAATTATTTGATACTTATGTAGATGTTCAAAGTGCAGCAGAATGCTAATTACTGTGTCCTTGTCAGTCCTAGTCATGGAAACCCGGGACCCTGTGCTGAAGTTCCCAGCCTTTTTACCCTGTTGACAGTGAGCGTGATGGATAGAGAGCGAGGCTGGCAAACCTGCTTCCAGCCCAGCCATTCCCAGGCCTGCGGCTTCTGGCTGTAAGAAGGTGCTCCGACGAGGCCTCTTTGGAACTGACTCCTGAGCATTAATTTCTTCCACCAGGAGATCAGTAAATGACCCTTCCCACCTGCTGCCATCCAGATTTGGAATCTGGTTACATCACTAACTTCTGCTCCTGCCGGATGAATTTTACAATCAGTCTCAAGGAGAAAGATGGCATTTCCCATCTCTGCTCTGCCTGCCAGCCTCTGTTTGCAGGGACAGTTCACTGCGTCCAAATTAAACTTTATATGGTGTCATTTCCCCCCTTTGCAAATTGATGAGTTGGGGAGCTGTACACTTGGGAAACACTGACTTGCTGTTCTTTGGCCAGTATCTCGATTGTGAACTTGTGAAACCTTAAAAATAAAACCCTCATTTGGCACCGCAAGATGAATAGAGGAGCTGTAGTGCCATCTGCTGGCCACCTGGGGGAAACGCAAACATTCGCTAGTAGAAGCACCTCTTCTAATGAAAAGATCCAAAGTGCCAATCTGAGGATAAATTGTTAAATATGTGTGATAATTTGAAGAAAGTAGATACACATTTAAAAAATTAAAGGCTAGCATTTTATAGAGGAAAATGCATTTATATTTTGTGACAACTGTGAAATAGAGCTTACCTTTGTATGCAGTGTGGGTTCTGGAATATATTTGTGGTAGAAGACATTCCCATTTGTCAGGAAGAATGAAAAATGGGTTGGAAAATAGAGGTTGGCCTTTGAGTTCTTTAAGAATAGGATATAAACAATTTTCTGGACATTTTTTCTAGAGAGGAAGAGTCCAGCATCTGATGGAAAGACAGCTGGGCTGCCCATGTCTAGGGAGAGCTCCCTGTTGGCCTCTAACCAGCTGGTGAAAGCTTGGACCACTCCTGTAACTTCTGGAGGTCATGTTCCCTATAGAATTGGGATTGAATTCAATGATGGGTAAAATTCCTTACAACTCAGTAAGGGACTATTTCTGTAATCAGCAAAGGACTGAAGGAAAGTAACGTTTCTTTAGGCTATTTTCCCCGTGAAAATATTTATTTTATTTATTTATTTTCACTTATTTTAGTGAGAGAGAGCAGATCAGTGCATGGGAGCATGTGAGGGACGGTAGGAGAAGCTGCAGACTCCCCATTGAGCAGGGAGCCCAATGCAGGACTGATCCCAGGACCTTGAGATCATGAGCTGAGCCAGAGGCAGACACTTAACTGACTGAGCCACCCAGGCACCTGAAAACACGTCTTTTAGGAAAAGTAAAAGTTCACATACATATTTGTAATTTATTACATAGTTAAGTAGTTGATCAAGAGCTAGGGGTATTTCATGTCTTTGGTCCTTAGCAATTAGGTCAAGAGTTTCCTTGTTCCTTAGAGTGATTTTTAAAATAACTGTGCTGCTTTCTTTGCTGTAAGCAGGTAAAGCAAAAGCAGGGGATGACTGTGCTGGGAGGTGGACTGGTGCACCTTACTATGACTTTGAGCTCAAAATGCAACAGAATAAAGTTTGAATAAACAAAATACAGGAACGCAAACTTTAGCTCACATATTCTTCCTTTCTTTCTTTGATTTTGCAGTGAGAGAGCATGGAGTGGGGAGGGGCAGAGGGAGAGGAACAAGCAATCTCCATGCGGAGCAGGGAGCCTAATGCAGGGCTCGATCTCCTGACCCTGAGATCACCACCTGAGTTGAAATCAGGAATCAGTCCCTTAACCGACTATGCCACCCACACACCCATATTTTTTTTGAAGGATCTTCTGCTTTAACCCCAGCTAGCTAGGCAGCTCCCTACAGTCTGCTCTCTGCTGCCACTTTGCTGTGCCCGTACCTCTGCACCTCTGTGGCCCTGAGCACTTAAATGACCCATGGCTGCTGTTGCTTCCTTTTCTCCATCCTCCACCCCCGGTCCTGCCCTCCCCTTCCTCCTGCTGTTGCTTCTCCTGTGTGCCTACTTCTTTCTTCTTTGCTCTTGTTTGTCGCATCAAGAGTCCCATTTCTTTGTAATCACCCATGTACCTTACTCATGATAGCATTCAGTACATTTTTGCTGAATGAATTAAGAATGGAAGTGGCTGTTTAAGTAAGTCTATATTGAGTCGTTTTCATTTTTGCGTGGCTTGGAGGGCAGAGAGGAGATCCTTGGAGCTAAAGCTCGGCAAAATTCAGTAACAGGGTAGGTTTTCCTTACATTTTCTATGTTCACAGCTAGTGGTGATGGGAAAGAATGCCTTCGGGTCTAGCTCTCGTCCTCAGCACCCAAGATGCCTCCATTGTTTCTTTCTGAGCAATTCCCCTCACGGACAGTAGAGGTCTGTTAGATTTGTGCGTGAGTCAGCAACGGTCCTCTTCTCTCAGCCTTTGGCTTGGAAGGTGCTTACAGGCCCAGTTGTTGTGCTCACCTGGCCCACAGCAGTCAGCCGGCATCGGTGGCCTTGCCTTGAAGAGAGGTGTGTTATCCCAGGTGGCTCTGCGTGACAGAAAGCCCCATCCTGCTTTCTCTGGTCATCTCAAATCGTAGAGGTCCTTTTCACCCATAAGGTGGGCCACACATCGCTGTTTGCGTGCTCTTCTCTTCCTCTGATAGCCTCAGTGTAACACAGTTCTGGCCTCCCAGCCTCTGTCTCCCCGTGCATTCTCCCATCAGGAATGTGTTTTTGCCACATGCCCTCCCCCCCCGCCCCCGCCATCCTCCCTGGCAGGTGAACGTAGTGAAGATTCAGTTATGAACCCCCTGAGGATCCTCGTGTTTCTGTCCAGATACAGGTTCCTTCTTCCTGACTTTCCTTATCTGCACGTGTACACCGAACTTACTACCCTCTAGGTTCTGGACTCGCCCAGTGAAAGGCTCTGCTCCACTCTCCTCTGACCTTGAGGAGAGAACCTGTTTGAACTTACTTTGGTTTCTTTCCTTCCTAATTTAAGTTGGTATCTGTCTATGTGTGTTCTAGAGAAACAAGTAATTGGTTTTGGGTTGTGTTCGTGTTCCAAGTTATTTGGATCTGTCTGTATTTGTCACAGGCTGGCAGACGCAGTAGGGGGCGTGTGGGCCATCTCTGGTGTCCAGACACATGTTGATGAACTTGGACACATTTTTAAAAACATGGAATTATTTGCCATCGCTTAAAAATGTGGAGCTGCTTTTTTGTTTTTGTTTGTTTGTTTTTTAAAGCAGATTTCCTGGCTTCTCTTCGAACAGAGGAGGATCTAGCAAGGCAGATAGCCTGCCTGCCAACCATCAGCTCCCGTCTCCTCCCTCTGTGTGGGGCGTCTCATTGCCCACCTTTCTCCTGAGGCTGACCGCCCTACTCACTGCTGGCCTGAACAGCTGGCACTTGTGGTCCTGGGCCTGTATTTTTACTACGATCTGCTTTCTCTGTCCCACTTACACAAGAGACTTCTCAGTGGCAGTAACTTAACGTGTGGCTAATAGTTCACAGAAGTGGATCATCGGGTGATCGTCTAGTGAAATCCATTCCCTTCATTTAATAGAGGTCTTACCCCGGAGTGAGTCTGCAATAAATGTTGACAAATGGTTCCTAAGTGTGTTTCTAGAAAGGCAGCAGCTGGCTAGATAAGGCTAGTGGTAAATACTGTATCAGAATCTCCCTGGCTTGTCTAGGTGGTGATGATTCCCGGGGTGGCCGAGATGGGAGGGTTTTCGGTCCTCGCACAAAGGTAAGGCTCCCTCGTAATCAGACATGTTTTTCTTTTCTAGGAACACTCTTCCTAAGTCAAACTCAGAAGACAGCTCTGTAGGTCAGTATTCCTTTTCTTGGTTTAACAACTTAAATTATTTTAATACTTTATAGAACACAGAAACTGTGAACACAACAAAAACCACAAAGAATGTTTGCACCCAGGAAGAAACACTGTTAAGATTTTGATACATCTCTTTCCTCTCTTTACCCCTGCCTGTATGTTTCCTTTTAAACCTAATTGGTTTCATTCGCTGCATATTATTTTATAAGTTCTTTCAATTGAATTCCATTCAATTGAATAACATCCTGAGCATTTTCCCACATCGATTAAGTATTCTTTATGGTAAAATTTTGAAGTCTGTAAGTTCCATCATATGGGATGGGCCACAATTTAAATCAGCCATCTCTTGTTTGCTGAACATTTAAGTCGTCTTTAATTTTTGCTCTCAGAGAATTGATTCTATCTGAAAAATCCTTCAGCCTATCCCTAATCACATCCTTAGGATAAATCCTTTGATTTGGAACTTTTGAATCAAAGACTATGCACAATTAAGGTGTTAAATATTTTATATTTCCTTGATTGTAAAACCCACTCTTGATTTAATAACATCTTTTCTGTTGGGTCAGAGCAAGTCTGGCAAGGTCATTATGATAAGAAGCATAGGTGCTCGGGTCAGGTTTTGATTTGAGTTTGAATAAGGAGTCTTCAAACTCAGTGGTTAGGGCCTTGAGCAAGTCACTTGCTTCCTGAAGTGTCCAGTTTCTCATCCACTAAATGGGAACAATAATACATCCTGTTTATTGCCATATTAAGTGAGATAAGCCATTAAAGAACAGGGTGCCTGGGCATGGTAAGTACTCAGTACATGTTAGCTGCTATTTATTTTTCAATTTGCACCTTCATTTTGGAAACATTAAAATAGAGGAAGGGGAGAGTATATTCTCCAGGAAAAGAAATATGTCATGATCCCGAATTGCCTGAGAGGAAAGCTGAATGAGTGATGGCCCTCCTTCTGCTCTCATCTTCCGTGCTAGTATTTGCTGTAGCTGGAAAGCAGCAGGTGCCCTCACACCCCCCTCCGAGGTTCCGGGTACCAAGAAAGTCTCCTCGCAGCGGGCGTGGGCTTCATTCCAGAGCTCCAGGGCCCGTCTGCACTTACATGAGGGCCTTTGGTGTTCCCACACGGTGCCATACAGAGCCCGGGAGCAGCCCCAGGTTGCCACGTGTCTGTGCTGCATTGGCCAGCACCACCAGTCTAGACCTTGGAAACCAGCAGCCCATCTCTCCACTGGGCCATTTCCAGTGGCCGCGTAGCAGCCAGGGACACCAAGTGGTGACAGTGACAAAGCTGTTGCTGTGCATGTGCCCCGTCTGCATGAGACCTGCTCTTTCATTTCATCTTTAAACACAGGGCTAGTCTCTTCTTTTACTTGCTCTTTTCCTTTCCTTTTGCTTTTTAAAAGGCATTGTAGATCAGCAATGATCGGAACCCTAGCAAACACTGGAGATGTCTAGCTACTGCAGTGACATGGTTTTCCCCTGCAAACAAGGGCAGCTGTCCCCAAAACAGTCCAGGGGGTGAGGGTGGAGGAGGGGGAGGAGGGAGCTCCGTTGGGAGCTGTCACAGCAGGATGGCAGTCTGCTTTTCTCATCATTGTACCCCGGGTCAGCTGCAGATAGTAGGTCAGTAAGTGGCCTGAAAGCCAGAGAGGCAGGAGCCCGCTCTCCCCACCTTGCCTACCCTGCAGCTGCATCCCCTGCCTCCCAGCAAACTCGATGCCACAGAGTAACAGCGCAGGTCAACCCCATGGGCTCCCAGAGCCAACTCTGAGGACTGACGGACAAGCACACCCAGGACATAATCACCCTCCTGTCGTCTTCATTAAGTCTGCAACAACAGAAATAAATCAAGGGGAGATCAACAACAGGGATAATGACAAAACAAAGTTCACTTCTTAAAGTGTTCCATTTGTGGTTTCGTTGAAATAATTGTGGCCGAGACCCGAGGGGGAGACTCGACCACAAGACAAGACAGGGCAAAATTAGACACACTAGTTAAACAACATCAAAGTGAATACACGAATGTGTGTTTTGCCTGCCTTTTTGATGTTTCTTTATTTCTTGTCTTAACCCCACTGCTCTATTACTTGCTGCTAGGAAATTTGCATTTCCTTTAAACAACTTTTTAGGCATTTCCAAGTCTTTCATAAACCGAAAGAGAAAAACTGTCTTTTTGTGAAATCAAAGTATTCTTATAAGCTTTGAATTATAAAGAAGAGGCTACTTTTGTTATTAATGAATTTATTGCTTGTGCCTTTTTTTTCCCCCTTTCATTTTTAAAGGAAAAGGAGATTGGAAGAAGAAAAATAAGTATTTCTGGCAGAACTTCCGAAAGAACCAGAAAGGAATAATGAGACAGACTTCAAAAGGTACTGTGCCACAGCTGGCGGACAGTAGGTCCTTTTAGGTCCCAAATGTTGAAAAGCCTGTGCCCACTAATCTAACTGGAGGCCAGTCAGAAGCACTCGTTGCCTGGGCCCACAAAGATTCCAAGTTTTCTGACAGTCCTCTCGTGACTTTTAAGACTTCATACCAGTGGGTTTCTTTCTTTCTTTTTTTTTTTTTTAATCAAAGAAAACAAAATGAGGAGAGTTGGCAGGTCTTCCTTTTCATAGATCTGAGAGCAAAGACCAAATCTTTCGTTTTCTTGGTCACACCAACCTCAGGAAGATCTTTACTTGCCAAGATCTATCCCAAAAGGGTTGAGCAAGTCAAAGCATTTGTTAGTTTTGGACCCGTCCGCCGGCCCTGCCACTTGGGGCCTTTGCAATCTTCTGGACTGGAGATGCTTTTCTGTGGCAGGCCAGTGACGGGGTTGTTGCCCCTGGAAACTCTGTCCCCTGGTCTGACATCATGGGAATTTGCCCGGGCTGCTTTGTGGAGGGAGCCCTGCCCTCCTCTTGGCTGTGTCTTTGTTGTTGTTTATATAGTAAGTAAATATGTCATCCCTTTGAGGCCCAGTTATGTAATTTATGTTTCCCCGGTATTCAAAGGGGAAGCAGACACAAAGCCGCTTCTCCATCCCAGCCCAGCCGAGCGAGGTTATCGCGAGATGAACGTTCTTAGTGGCTCACCAGTGACTGTTTGCGTTTACAAAATCACAGTGTCCTCCCCTGTTCAGAATGCTGTTCCAGGTGCTCATACACGTGGAAATGAGACACGTGGACAAGGACGACATGTATGCAGTCACACACCTGGGACCCCAGCCACATTCACCGGGGTTATTCCAGCTGTCCTGGTTTAAGGCTGATTCTTCAACATTCCCAGTTTTTCCTTCTGCTACACACCCGAGACCACTTGCAATTCAAAGTAAATCTTGGATCCTGACGATGTCTTATTTAGAAAGAATGGAAGGAAAAAGAGTGAGAGAGAGAAAGGGATGCAGGGATCGAGGGAGGAAGCCAGCAGTTTACTGGCTCATGTGTTTTTTTTTTCAGAAACCCACCCAGCTCCCTGGCATTCCCTCCACCCTCGAAGGTGATGCATATAATAAAATGAATCAAACCAGCAGGCTTGTCTCCTAACCCAGCACACACTGTTATTCTTCCCAGATAAGTAGATGAGTGGTGAAGAGAACTTGGAACTTTCTGGGCTGATTGATGACAAAATGGAAATGAGATAGGGAAACGCAGGGGAACATAAATTCCAGGGCTGGCCCTGACTGCAGTGGTTTCCTCTGGGTCTGCAGCCAGACTCTCTTACTGGCCCTCGATGCCAAGGGCACATCAGCCGTGGCCAAGATCCTAGTGACATCGAAGCTGGTGAAGCCTGTATGAGAAAGAAGTGGCAGGGGAAGGATGAGGAGCTAGAAGATGGGTTTATTCCCAGCCAGTGCATTACCACACGCTTCCACTGACCTGTCCTTCCTGACACGCTAACCAAACATACACAAGCTGGCGTGGCTCACGTATGTCACAGATAATGGCAATCTGTTTGCTTTGCAGGAAAGCACTTTCGAAAGGTCCTATAGGGGGATTCTCTTTGCCTCAGCAGTTCTGGCTGCCTTCAGTTTTGGTTTTCATTTTGTTTTGTTTCCTTTTTAGAGGAAGGGTTGGGGGAGGGAAAGAGAATCCCAAGTAGGCTCCATGCCCCATGCAGAGCCTGATGTGGGGCTCGGTCTCAGGACCCTGAGATCATGACCTGAGCCAAAATCAAGAGTTGGACGCTTAACTGACTGAGCCTCGCAGGTGCTCCTGGTTGCCTTCAGTTCTGAGGGGGAAATTGAGTTCTTCTCACAGTTTGAATACGTATTTATGATGAGACTTTCATTTTTTTTAAATATTTTATTTATTTATTTGACAGAGAGGGAACACGAGCAGAGGGAGTAGGAGAGGGAGAAACAGGTTTCCCACTGAGCAGGGAGTGCCAATGCAGGGCTCGATCCCAGGACCCTGGGATCACGACCTGAGCGCAAGGCAGACACTTAATGACTGAGCCACCCAGGCACCTCTGACAAGACTTTTATATATATGCATTTATAATAACCTTCCTTCCAGTGAACAAAAATGCTCCCTACCTGTGATTTTATTTATTTCCGCCTATCCTCTTAGGAACAGTGATCAGACAGCTTTATAGGAATCTAGGATCTCAACAGGCCACGGGTCTCATTCTACAGCTGAGTCTGTGCCCTTAATATTAGGAAAAAGGGATCCCTCCCACTGCTCTCAAAAAGATTTTCTTCTTGTTCATATTTGAAATAGAAGGACACAGAGGACCATCAGCCGAAGGAGCCTTGGAATGCTTGTCTGCTCTAGGTGGGTCTTTAAATCAGGTCTCTGCCCCACCTCTTACTCCAGACTTCCTGTCAGCTTTCTTCCAGAACTCTTCCACTAGGCCCTGGATCAGAAAGGCTCCAATCATTTTGAAGGATTTGTTTCTATGGTAACATCCCTATGTTCTCAGAGCCTGTTTCTCAGTAAGATGGGCTCGTGGGCTTCCCCAGAAATGACCCAACGGCTCCTGTTGCTCAGCAGTAACGTGCAGTGTGGGACAATGCCCCTGAACTTTCTCCTTCTCTAGTCCCAACCAGTGACCTTTCAGGATTCAGCATTCTGTTTTATCTTCCTTTTTTTACATTCCTGTCTTTTGTCTTCATTCTCTAGGAGAAGATGTGGGCTATGTTGCAAGCGAGATAACAATGAGTGACGAGGAACGGATTCAGCTGATGATGATGGTTAAAGAGAAGATGATCACCATTGAGGAAGCACTCGCGAGGGTAAGGGTGCAGAGGCTTGGTTTACGTTTGTGAGAGCTTGACCCCCTTATATGGAAAAATGTTTGTGGAGTTTGGGGAGTTGCTGTAGACTGTGTCCCCCTTGCCCCAATCCACGTGTTAAATTCTAATGCTCAGTGCGGCTTTATTTGAAGGTAGGGCCTATGGAGGTGTCTAGGTTCTAAGGGGGGAGCCCTTGTGAATGGAATGAGCTTACAGAAGAGGCCCCAGAGAGCTCCCACACCAGAAGATGGTGGTCTGTGAACCAGAAAGCTGGTCCTCACACAACACTAAATCTGCCAGCTCCTTGATCTTGGACTTCCCAGCCTCCAGAACTATGAGGAATTTCTGTTGTTTATAAGCCATCGGTTTATGGTAATTTGTTATAGCGGCTCTAGTGGCTTAAACAGGGGCCTCAAAAGTACAGGAATGTATTACTTAAAGTAGTATTTTGATGCTACTTTGGTGGTCATCAAGTACCTATGTTATCAGATGAAATACCAAATTCCATTCTATTTACTTAATGCAAGCATTCCATGTTGTGAATTTTCATTTCTGTATTCAGTAATACACACATGAATGAATGGCAAATATTTCTGAGCTTTGGACCACTTTAATGAGGAAAATGATTCTCTGAATGCCCTTATGAAATACATAAGCCTTATAAAAAGACTGACAAGAATATAATAAAAATTATTAATAAAAAACAAAGTGAAACTTAATATAGTACAACTATTGTAAACTTCCATTTTATAAGATGCAGGGCTAAATTCTGAATAATTCAAAAGTTAAGCTTTAGGCACACCTTAAAATTTTACTTACTTTTTCTTCTAAGTAAAGTATTGTATTAGTGTTAATATATTTATTTCTAGGTATTAGTTATAGTTTAGTGTGTCATATTTTTTGCTCTGAGCTGAATTAAGCACCGAAAGAAGCCTAACTAATCCTCAGGTACTGGAGTCGCATTTATGATAGAGAGATAGCAGTTAATAAGAGATTACCTGCTTGGTTGTTGCCCAACAAACTGACTGAGGGAATCTTGGGTTTCCACTTAGAGTAGTTGGTTTGGTATTCTGTAAGCAGTCATAAATTAGGCAGCTTAGAAACAAATGAAAACTTTTAAGTCACTGAGGAATTATTGAATGACGTGACCGTTAAGCAGAATCTTAAAGACCTGAAACCTTGAAACCGTGACAAGCACGTTCGGTTTAGTTTCCGGTACCTGACTTTAAACCTCAATAGTTTAAAAAACAAAAAGCTTTATGTATTGTTGAGACAGCCTTCGGGGGAATAAAGCCCTTGAAGGGAGTGGGAGATGAACAGGGTTTAGTCAGAGGCCTGAGGGCCAAGGCCACCTCCAGATGCCCACCTGCTGGCTTCTCTTGCTCTGTCGATTTGAAGGAATGGAGGTAAGCTCGGTCCTTAGTGTCCCTGGCGGACCAAAGTCATGCTGGACCAGAGATGGAGCAGGTGACAGGTGGTGACTTCCTGTCCTTGCTGCGGATCCACCTTCACCCCAAACCTAGTCTATCTATTCCTCCACACCTTTGGCCACCCGGCCCAGCTGCCAGTGGAGGCAAAAAGCCCACTGTGGATTTTTCTATCCAGTTCCATTCCTTGAATGTGGCTTCCAGCTGAATACCTAGAAAATACACGGGAGACACATGGACCTGTATTTCGTTTTACCGTGGTAGACCAGATGTTCACGTACCTTCTGGGGAGGGACGCTACTGCACTGCTCTTTTAAGAAGGAAACATGAGGGGCGCCTGGGTGGCTCAGTGGGTTAAAGCCTCTGCCTTCGGCTCAGGTCATGATCCCAGGGTCCTGGGATCGAGCCCTGCATCGGTCTCTCTGCTCGGCAGGGAGCCTGCTCCCCCCTCTCTCTCTGCCTGCCTCTCTGCCTAATTGTGATCTCTGTCTGTCAAATAAATAAATAAAATCTTAAAAAAAAGAAAAAGGAAGGAAACATGAAGGTCAGGATGCAGAAGATGCCTGCAGTCATCTGACTACACGTGTGTGGGAGGAGAGTAGCATGTGATGGACCTCCTCCAGTGTTTGTGGAGCAGAAGAAAATACGAGAAGTGGCCTTAACATAGTCACTTTTAGGCAGCTCATTTCTATAACTGAAAAGAAAGGAGTCTTTTCTAAGTTGGGGAGAAAACAATTAGTTTGAAGCGCCTTCTGAGTTGATGATGTTAACAGCTGCCCGTCATTTATGTGGAAAGGAAATCGGAAGTGGACTGGATGAGAAGGTGGCACAGCTGTGTGTGGATTTGGGTAGCGGCCTCAGCAGTGCATCTTGTCTGTCTGGGGCCCAGGGTGGGGCAGGGGCTGCGGGGGCTGCGGGGGCTCCCCTGCCTAGTTTCAGGACAGAGCTCATCAAGACATCGAGAATATTTTCTGTAAGGCAATCCAGAAACACAGATTGAAGAACAAAACTGATGACGTTTTTTAAAGTCTACTAGTTTCTGCACACAGCGATGGGGGTCCTTTGACAGCTGATGAAGTAGCGGGGGGAAACCTTTTGGCCTGCTCTTGGCAGGGCGGCATACAGCCTCAGCTACTAGTGCCTGGATGGGCTGCTGTTTTGGCCAGAGACAAAACACTTCATGAAAAATGTTATTTAGAGCAGAAAACAGTCTATGGAAAGGATCTGCTGCTTTTATGACTAGCTCAGGGATCTAAATTTAGTTGATGATTATACTGACAACAAAAACAAAAGCCTTAAGACTTAGACCTCCTATAATGACCATGATGAGAATGTCCTTCAGGACCTCAGGTGTGTGTTTGTCCTGCTGTCAATCAGATACTTAAAGACCCATGGGTAGAACATCTAAGTTTACTCCTGACAGGACAACCGAGTATCAGGAGAGAAATTTGCCTGTGTGCGATTTGGAGCAGAGAGTGTCCCCGGTACATCCTTGTATTGGGGAAAATTTTATCTAATGTCACAAACAGTTTGGTCCATTCTGCTTTATTTGTGTGGATTTGATCTCATTGATGGATACTTTACCCCTGGGAAGTATACAGCTATCATTCATACACCCGAAAACCCGTTATTGATACCAACAGAGATTAAAATGAAAAAGGCTACAAGGAATTAATATGTAAAACACTACCATAAGCTGCAAAAAAAAAAAAAGCATTTGAAAAGAATGAACTTTACGAAACACTTCTGTATTTCTGTATTTTCTCTGAGTGTGTAATTGAAAAAGACAGCAGCTTTAAAAAAAAACAGCTTAACTTATGATTTTTATATTTTATTAACTAGTAGTTTCATCAAGTCTATTGGTTTATCGAACATTTCCTAATAGCTTTATGATGGATATATACTATATGCGCTTTAAGGAAATCAAGCTTATTCGTAAAGCAAAATTGTGTAGGGGGATCTAGGTAATTGGCATAGTCTACGTAACACAGTTTTTAGGAGCGTACATAGCTCTTGGCAAGTAAGTTCAGGGTACTTAGACCTTGGGCTGGTTCTGCAAGGTTTAGAAGGCCCAAGAGATACCTAGATGCCACTGGGTATTCATTTGTGTGGATGATTTTTATGGTGTAAAACTCAGTTTTAAAGCTTTGGCTAAAAGAGAACACTGTTGTTTTGGTATGATGGTGCTCAGCAGTGATAGAGCTATGTAGAAGAAAAATATGTCCTTTGACATTTTAACTGGAAGCACTGTCTCTAGGAAATTGAGGGAGATCTGTAACCATGATTTAGGAAATCCTATTTCCTAAAATATAATTATGAATACAAAAGACTACTCATGTTAACTTGATCTAATTCCTAAATATTATGTATTTATCCATTTGATAAATGTGTGTCTGCTTCCAGAAGGTCACACCTATGTGAAAGTCCAAAATAAAATATTTTTTTTTGTTTTTAAGTACTTATTTGTCACTGACTTGACTGCCACTAAATAAGGGAAGGGGACAGGAAAGCCAGAGGGAAAAGCTGGACAGAGATGTGGTTTCAGGAGAAATCTAGCCTTACCCCGATCCCATAGGGAGTGGGGAGCTCTGGAAGGTGAATTGCATTGTAGAGTTGTCCTCCCAGAGAAGAAGAGACTTGAAGCTGATTGGGGAGGAGGAGGCAGCCCTCTAGGCATCTGTGGGAAACATCTCCTCTCAACCATGGAAAGTTCCCTAGAGCAGGGTGTAAATGTGAGCCGCATGCACAGTAACTGAGGAGTTGGGGAACACTGGTGTGAACGGAGTCTGGACATCTGGTATACCAGAGCACAAGATTAGGAACCAGGAACATATATATATATATATATGATGATTTTCCTCGCAGCAGCTTCTATGCATCAATCACAGAGATTTGGACAACCAGAGAGGTTCATGGAGAGAGTCTGTAGGAGAACAACAAGGTGATTGTAGTTTTTTTTTTTTTTTTTTTAAATAGGTCCCATGGGTGAAAATTGGAGAGGATTTATCTCAGAGAAGAATGTAATCACCATCTCCAAGTATATGAAGGATTATTAAACAACACATCTTCAGAATGTACTGAAGAGTGTTTTGTTTTATTTTGTTTTAACCTCTACTGAGGACAAAATAAAAGGAAATGAATTTAACTTGCAGCTGGAGGGGGTTGGGATTAGATATAATACAAAAGTTCTTTTCTCGTAGAAATGGGAACATTTTAGGATCTCCTCAAAGGTTTCTAAAATAGCATTAACTGACTGAAGATGGCCATCCCTCTAGGAATCATGCCATAGACTTCAAGTATGAGAAAAATAGAAGACTGAAGAAAATAGGATGTGAAAGAAGTATTTCCTCCTGAGACAGACACATGCGCACATACACACACACACAGACATAGACATGCACACTTTAAAACTTCTGTCATGTTAAAGCTAGACATTTGCTTCAGAATATCTAAGTTCTCAGATGAAATCATCAATTGTCTTTCCTCCGTGAAATTATATTTAAGTCAAAACTTCTTTGGGAGCAAAGTAGGATATAAAAATGTAGTTGTAAAAGTAACTAACCAGGTTGCATTTTTCCCCTGTAAGATGCACTTAGAATTCTTTTTAGAGATCCTGTTTTATAACTTGAAAACATAAGATTTTTAAATTAGAAAATTAAAAAGTAAGGTAAATTTGGGTAGAGTGTGAATTTGAATCTCTCTCTGAGGAAGCCCTGCTACTCTCAGACCCCAGAGTCGATGAAGGACAGGGACAGATAGAAGAAAAATATCAAATCTGTTATGATCGACTAGTTAGGAATTTGCTTTGTTTTGTTTCAGTTAAAGATGAAGCTCATGTAGTGGCTTCTCGAAGTTAGGCCTAGGTGGAATATGGAAGTATGGCAGAGACTTGGAGAAAACAAAAGATAACTGTGTCTTCCAGTCATGCGGGAAGAATGTAGCATTTCAGAAACCAGAAAATGTGGAAGGAAAGACCATTCTAGTATATAACTTAAATATACCATAAAGATTAGAGCAATATCCATGTCCCTAATGTACTAGAAAGATTAACGTGCTACTCGCAAATAGCAGAAGTTCAAACCCCTGGAGCTGACGTGAGCTGTGAGCTCTCTTTTATTGGGAACCACAGGGCTGTGTTCGTCATGAGTCTGTTGCTTTGGTACGGGTGCTAAGTTTTGTTGCATTATCTTACATAATTCTAGTAATAGTTCTGTGAGATAGTTTATTGTCATCTCCATTTTCCAGATAGAGGAACTGAGGCACAAAGGAGTTAAGTAATTTGTCCCAGCGATCCAAGCTGATACTTGGTTCTGCAGCCAAGCTCTTACCCATTAATCAATACTGTCTGCCTTCCTGTGTCTATCTCCTGTCACAAGTATGTGCAGCAAAGAATTTCATGGTAGAAGTGATAGTTTGCAAAGTTGCCTTTTCCCTAGAGGGATGTTGTCAGCATGGTGGCTTTGCCATGTCCACACGGCTCCAGTGGTTGAGAACAGTCCTAGCACCTTCTCCTGGGCTGTTCGGTCAGATCGTTTCTGTTTTTTGGCGTCTTGATTTATAGAACATGATTTCATCAGTGTGAAATTCATAACTAAAAACTGCTTTGTAATAGAATTTTAATACAGTGGTAACTTAACTGTATTGTGTTGCAGAGTTAAATTTCTATGTGTTTGATGAAAGCACGCCTAGAACTTCTCACATTTGCCATTCTAAAAGACCTTTCTGTTCGCTTAAACTTGTCAATTTCCTATAATGTTTCACTTGTCTATTTCAGAAAGTAGAAAGGGAATTTCCAAACCCAAACTGGAGATGTCTCGGAACATACTCTAGATAGCTCATTATTTTCCTCTCCTCCACAAGGGTCCCCAATAAGGCTCATAATATTTGTTAGGTGAGAACAAGGAATTGGTAACTTGAAACAGTCAGTAGCAAGAAAAGCAAGTGATTTTAGAGAATCTCTTTCAGGCTTCCACCTCTGTTTCACCAAAATGCCCATAGTCTACCACGTTGTGTCTTCGACAAAGACAGGTAATTCAGAGGCCAGGCTACAGACAATTTCTGTTTTTGAACTTACAATTGAACTGAGAAAGATGAGTATTGAGGCTGGAGGGTCTTGGAGAGAAAATCAAGGTTCTTTTTAGAACACAGAATACAAAGAATCTGTTGTGTCTGTCAGTTTGATGTAGATGAAAAATCACAGGGCAGGCTGTGCGTCTTCCTCTCAGTTTGGGGAACCTTGTCTTTGGCTGGCACTGAGTCCCCAGCAGCGGCATGAAGAAAGTGACCAGAGCATTCTCACTGCTGTCTGGTAGGCAGCCCTGGGCATTATTTCCATGTCAATTTTCATTTTCTTTTGTTGTAGCTCAAGGAGTATGAGGCCCAGCACCGGCAGTCAGCGGCCTTGGACCCTGCCGACTGGCCAGACGGTTCTTACCCAACATTCGATGGCTCGTCAAACTGCAATGTAAGTTTACCGTTTCTGAGCAACTTGATCGCTTCTACTACAAAGTAGATTTTAGCCAACTTCTGCCTTTGAACTTCCTTCTGCCACTACCAGCTCTCACCTGGATCTGAAAAGAAGCGTCTCTTTTGACGTGTTACTCAGTTTTCTTGATGGACTTATCTGCAGTCAAAATAGTGCTGTTGATTCTGTTATTTCATAATTGTGGTAAATTATATGTAACTTAAAATTTAACCTTAAAAACATTTTTAAGTTAAATTAATATTCAGTTCAGTGGCATTAAGCACATTCACGTTGCTGTGGCATCGTCACTAAAATACACATCCAGAACTTTCTCAGCATCCAAAACAGAAATTCCATAACCGTTAAACGGTAACTCCCCTTCCATAAGTTTCGGAAGCCATCATTCTACTTTCTAGCTCTATGAGATTTGACTATTCTGGGTCCTTTATGTACATGGAATCATTTTTTGTCAATCAATATTTTTTGTCATTTTTTGTCAAATCAATATTGGTCCTTCTGCGTCTGGTTTATTTCATGTAGCATAATGTTCTCAAGGTTTATCCACATTGCAGCATATCCCAGAACTTCATTCCTTTTTTAAGGATAAGTAATACTCTACCATATGGATATACCACATTTTGTTTATCCATTTGTCTGTTGATTGACACTTGGGTGTTTCTACCTTTTGGCTGTTGTAAACAATGCTAGTATGAATATTAATATATGAATATCTGTTCGAGTACTTGCTTTCAGTTCTTTTCAGTATGTACCTAGGAGGAGAATTTCTAGATCACATGTTTATTATACGTTTACTTTTTAAAGGAGCCACTATACAGTTTTCCAGTATGGCTGCGTCATTGTACATTTCTGACAGTAATGTGTAAAGGTTCCAGTTTTTTTTACTTCTCACCAACACTTGTAATTCCCCCCTTTTTTGTTAATACATCCTAATGGGTGTAAAATGATGTCTTGTTGTGACTTTGATTTGCATTTCTCTAATGACTAATGATATATAGATATAGATATAGATATAGATATAGATATATATAAGAAATATCCATTCAAGTTCTTTGCTCATTCTTGAATTGGGTTGTTTTATTGTTGGCTATTGAGTTGTAGGAGTTCTTTGTATATTCTGGCTATTAATCCCTTATCAGTTGCAAGATATAAATAGTTTCTTTCATTTTAGGGTTGCCTTTTCACTTTCTTCTTTTTTTTTTAAGATTTTATTTATTAACTTGACAGACAAAGATCACAAGTAGGCAGAGAGGCAGGCAGAGAGAGAGAGAGGAGGAAGCAGTCTCCCTGCTGAGCAGAGAGCCTGATGCGGGGCTCAATCCCAAGGCCCTGAGATCATGACCAGAGCTGAAGGTAGAAGCTTAGCCCACTGAGTCACCCAGGCATCCCAACTTTTTCACTTTCTTGATGTCTTTTGATGTATGAAAGGTTTCTAAGTTTGAAGTCCAATTTCTCTTTGCTTTTGTTCCATGTGCTTTTGGTGTCATATCCAAGAAAGCTTTGCCAAATCCAGTATCATGAAGATTTTCTCCTGTTTTCTTTTCAGAGTTTTATAGTTTCAGCTCTTAAGTTTAGGTCTTTGGCCCATTTTAAGTTTATGTGTGTATATGATAATAGCATACAGGTCCAACCTCATTCTTTTGCAGATAGATACCCAGTTTTCCCAGAACCATTTGTTGAAAGGACCGTTCTTTCCTCATTGACTGGTCTTGGCTTCCTTTTCAAAAATTAATTGACCAGGGGCGCCTGGGTGGCTCAGTGGGTTAAAGCCTCTGCCTTCAGCTCAGGTCATGATCCCAGGGTCCTGGGATCGAGCCCCACATCGGGCTCTCTGCTCGGCAGGGAGCCTGCTTCCCTTCCTTTCTCTCTGCCTGCCTCTCTGCCTACTTCTGATCTCTGGCTGTCAAATAAATAAATAAAACCTTAAAAAAAATTAATTGACCATATATGCTAGATTTTATTTCTGGGCTCTTTTATTTTATCCCATTGATTTATATGTCTTTCCATTGTAGGTATTACACTGTTTTGATTAATGTAGCTTTGGAGTAAGTTTTGAAATCAAGACATGTGAGCCCTCTAACTTGATTCTTTTTCAGATTGTTTTAGCCATTCAGGTCCTTTGAGAGTTCATATGAATTTTAAGATGGGTTTTTCTTTTTCCACAAAAGATGCCATGAGATTTTGATAGAGATTGCTGTGCATCTGTAGTTGATATGGGTAGTATTGTCATCTTTTTTGTTTGTTTTTAGTATTGTCATTTTTTTTAAATTTATTTATTTATTTGACAGACAGAGATCACAAGTAGGCAGAGAGTCAGGCAGAGAGAGGGAGAAGCAGGCTCCCTGCTGAGCAGAGAGCCTGATGTGGGGCTTGATCCCAGGACCTCGAGATCATGACCTGAGCCTAAGGCAGAAGCTTAACCCACTGAGCCACCCAGGTGCCCCTAGTATTGTCATCTTAATAGTAAGAAGTTCTTCTGATTTATGTACATAGGGTATCTTTGCATTTCTTTATGTCTTCTTTAATTTCTTTCAGCAATGTTTTGTAATTTTCAGTGTACATGTCTTACCTCCTTAGTTAAGTTTATTTCCAAATACTGTATCATTTTTTTAAATTTTTTTAAAAGATTTTATTTATTGATTTGACAGAGAGAGATCACAAGTAGACAGAGAGGCAGGCAGAGAGAGAGAGAGAGAGGGAAGCAGGCTCCCTGCTGAGCAGAGAGCCCGATGCTGGACTCGATCCCAGGACCCTGAGATCATGACCTGAGCCGAAGGCAGTGGCTTAACCCACTGAGCCACCCAGGCGCCCCTTGTATCATTTTTTAAATGCTTATTTTCTTTTTTCACATTTTCATTGCTAGTGTATAAAAATGGAACTGATTGTTGATCTTGTGTCCCTCAACTTTGCTGAATACGTTTCTTAATCTCTAACAGGTTTTGTGTGGTAGAATCTTTAGGGTTTTCCCCATAGAAGATTGTGTCATTTGTGAACAGAGACAGTTTTACTTCTTTTCTAATTTGGATGACTTTTATTATTCATGCTATTTTATTTTTTTTTTAAGATTTTATTTATTTATTTGACAGAGAGAGCACAAGCAAGGGGAACAACAGAGGGAGAGGGAGAAGCAGGCTCCCTGTTGATCAGGGAGCCAGACATGGGTCTCAGTCCCTATACCCTAGGATCATGACCTGAGCCAAAGGCAGATGTTTGACTGACTTTACCCAGCCACCCCTATTCATGCTGTTTTAATGTGACCAAACGTGCTTCCTAGGAGTTCCACAGGGATCGTGGGAAGAGTTTCGAGTTTCAAGCAGATATCTTGTGATGCCATCATCCAACTGCAGGGAGTAAGAATGGAGGGAGTTACCCTTTTTAATTTATTATGTAATTGTTTTGTTTGTTAGGTTTGTTCGTTCTTAAAATTTGGAAGCAACTCTACCTCCATGTCTTCAGCTTCTTGTCTCCTCTTGTCCATGCTCTGCACTGGTAGTCATCGCTCCAGAACATACCTCTCTGCTTGCAAGCTCCTGTTTTCAAAAAGCCTGCTGGTTTTCCAGTTCTGTAAGATAAATTCCAAACATTCTGGCACACTTGAGACACTTAGCAGTCTGGCTTTAGTCAATATGTCTGCTCTCCTCTGCCACCCCCCTACCCCTAATAACCTCCACGCCATCCACACTGGACCCTGCCTGTGTTACTAAACACACCTTGTATTGTCCACACTCTACTTTAATTCAGGCAATTTCCTCCACTGAGAATATCTTCCTCCAGATTTTTCCAGGTAAAATTCTATGTGTCCTTCAAGATAAAGTCCAACTGTCACCTCTTCTGAAACTTCCTTTATCCTTCTTAAGTTAATTTTATTGCTTCCTATTCTGTGCCTTGTTAAACTAGCATTGTACATGAAGCCTGACCTTTATCCTAGAGTATAGGAATTCATCATACACATTGTAGCCTCCTTGGGAATCATGAGCTCTTTGAGCAAGAAAGGCATACTGCATTCCCTTAGTGTCTCCAGTGAGTATCTAACTCAGTGTCCAGTTCATATGGCATGTTCAAAAAGTAATATTCAGTGGACAAAGTTGTATTTATTTATTTATTTATTTATTTATAAAGATTTTATTTATTTATTTGACAGAGATCACAAGTAGGCAGAGAGGCAGGCAGAGAGAGAGAGAGAGAGAGAGAGAGAGAGAGAGGAGGAAGCAGGCTCCCTACGGAGCAGAGAGCCCGATGCAGGGCTTGATCCCAGGATCCTGGGATCATGACCTGAGCCGAAGGCAGAAGCTTTAACCCACTGAGCCACCCAGGCACCCCCAAAGTTGTATTTAAATGTTCATCTCCCCCGGCTGCTGGAAGAGCATGTTTCATGTCCTACACCACACTTCTTTGCATCTAAGCAACAGATGATGGCTTGTCAGAAGTAAATGTAAGCTTTCTGCTATCTCATTGTCCCTGATTTCCTGAGTCAAGCACCGGATTTCCATTTCAGCTAAAAAAAAAAAAAAAAAGAAAGAAAAAAGAAAGTAAAGAAAAAAACCCAGGGGATTGTTAATTTGAAAGCCCTGCTTTGTTGCTTTTGTGTGAGAGACTGAGACGTTACCCTTTATAATAATAAATGTATCCTATGCTAGCCAGCATTGTATGCTGGGACTATGAGGTAATCAAAAGAACCATGTTTATGGATTTCAGTGTACCTTTTTCGTGTCTCTTATCCCCTTGTCCTGAAGTCTAGCATAATATAAATGTAAATCATGAACCTAAAGAAGCATGAGGAATAAATACAGTAACTCAGGACTGATGCTATTCAAAGCCCGCTGGGGGAGAACACAAAGACCCGGCTGCCCATCGTTGGGTCTTCTAGCGTCAGACTCACTGTATTCTGTCCTGATTAATAGCTTCCGAGTCAGAGGGGGAGGTTCTAAGACTGTCCAGTCAGAAACACAGGCCTGTGGTAAAACCTCACACACTCAGCAGGG